GGAGGGCTGAAACTTGATGTGAAAATAGTTTTTTTCTTTTTTTTGAAATAGGATCTCACTTTGTCATCCAGGCTGAAGTGCAGTGGCATGACCATGGCTCACTGCAGCCTTGATCTCTTCAGTTCAAGTGATCCTTCTACCTCAGCCTTGGGACTACAGGCGCATGCTACCACACCCAGCTAATTTTTTGTAGAGACAGGGTTTTTGCTATGTTGCCCAGGCTGGTCTCCAACTGCTGGGCTCAAGCGATCCACTCACCTTGGCCTCCCAAAGTGAGGGATCATAGCCATGAGCGACAGTGCCCAAAAATAGTTTCTATTAAAAAATCTAAACACGAGGAAAATGGATATTCTAGAATCTGCTAGCTTCACTGTATTGGCAGATAGCCCAGTTCTTTCTCACACAGTCCTTATGTATGGACTGTATTTTCTGTCCTCCTAAGACATTCAAACACGAACTGCACCCAAAGTGTTTTCAACAACTGAAACACTTTTGTATTTGACTTAAATCATCTAAATGTGTTACTAGCCATCCCAGAGTCTACCAATTCTAGAATCATTTTCATGTATTGAGGATTCCAGATTGTTCCTGTCTAGACATTCCCTTTACGCTTCTTTACTTTTCCAAACTGCCCAAGACTCCAACGTGTTTCACACTTAACTTCTCAACCAGCTGTTCAAGCAGTTATCATCCTAAGCAAGAGCGCTAGGGATATTGAAAGAAAAGAATGAAAGAGTTTGAGGCGTATGGTCCTGTAAAACATTGAAGGGAGAAAAAGTGGAGAACTAGCAAATGTTCAGAAGTGAATGTAATCATAGCAAAGTGACCTTTCAAGAAAAAGAAATTCCCCTTACAAAAAATTTTATTTCTACATAAAAGACTCATCTTCAAGATAAAGAGCCTTTTCAGGCCAGGTGCAGTGGCTCATGCCTATAATACCAGCACTTTGGGAGGCCAAAACAGAATGATTGCTTGAGCCCAGGAGTTTGACACCAGCCTAGGCAACATAGGGAACCCTCCTCTCTACCAAAAATAAAAAAATTAGCTGGGTGTGGTGGCTTGTGTCTGTGGTCCCAGCTACTCAGGAGGATGAGGTGGGAGGATCACTTGAGGGAGTGCAAGGCTGCAATGAGTTATAATTGTACCACTGCACTCCAGCCTGGATGACAAAGACCCTGTCTCAAAAACAAACAAATGAAAAGAGCCTTCTCCGCTATCCAGATCTGTAAGCGTTGGTATTTTGGTCTATTTTGGTCTTACAAAATCCAGAAAGAACAACAAACCTTTGAAACATTTGTTTTCAGATGCAGAAACAGGCAGGGAAAGTAAATCAACATGTATACTACAGAAATATGACAGTTTAAATTTTCTAAAAGTCTTCAAGAGAAAAAACTATAGTTGAGTAGTAGGTACACAGGTATTTATTTAATTTTTTTTCTTTCTTTTTATTTTTTTTGAGACAGGGTCTCACTGTTCCCAGGCTGGAGTCAGTGGCACGATCCTGACTCACTGCAACCTCAACCTCGCGGACTCAAGCAATCCTCCCATATCAGCCCCCTCCAAGTAGCTGGGACTACAGGCGCTCACCACACGCCTGGCTAATTTTTGTATTTTTTGTAGAAATGGGGTTTCACTATGTTGCCCAGGCTGGTCTCAAACTCCTGAGTTCAAGTGATCCACCTGCCATGGCCTCCCAATGTGCAAGGATTACAGGCATGAGCCACCGCGCCTGGCCTAATGTTATTCTTTATACCTCATCTATATAAATATTATTTTGTACCTATTAAATAAAAAATTAAGCAGTCTCAAGTGTCTTAATGAACCACACTTTGCTTTTAAGGTCCCTGCCTCTTTGAATGCACTTTGCCTATTTTATTTTTTTGAGACAGGGTCTCACTGTTATCCAGGCTAAAGTGCAGTGGCGAGATCATGGCTCACTACAGCCTCGACCTCCCTGGGCTCAGGTGATCCTCCCACCTCAAATTCTCAAGTAGCTGGGACTATAGGTGCATGCTAATTTTTGTAATTTTTTTTTTTTTTTTTGTAGAGATTGGGTTTTGCCACATTGCCCAGGTTGGTCTCGAATTCCTGGGCTGTCGATCTGCCTGCCTTGGCCTCCCAGAGTGCTGGGATCACAGGCATGAGACCTCAGGCACGTAAGCTACTATGCCTGACCCTAATTATTTTAACCTAAGTCAAAAGAAATACTTTTATAATTATTGTTACATAAGAACAAAGGTAGGTATATTGAACATGGCAATGATTCAACTCCTGCCTTGAGATAAAATGTTTTCTCAGAGAGAAGTAACTCAAGATAGTCAGAACTCTCTTTCACTATTATTATACCTATATTCTTGGGCTCCCCCATAAACTGGCTATCCTTAAAGTTTAGCATAATACTGGATGAACAGGTTTGAGGAAGAAAACAGTGGAAAAAATTAGAGTTTCAACTTCAGTTAAGGAAGTAATTTCTTAAAAACATGGTTGTAAGGCTGTTACATCACAACCCAGTGTAGAAACAAATCTATCAAGACCCTTTAGCAATTTTACCAAGCAGATCAAAATAAAAAATTACCTGAGCCTCCCTTTTTCAAAATACTTATTTCCTAGGCTGTTCACTAGCAAGTGCCTGCCACTAAAACGTCTTACCTGGAATTGGAGGCAAGACAGTACATTCTGAATGCCCATTCCTTACCTAATCTGAAAAGTACACATCACTTTTGCATACCTAATTGTCTATTGCCATGCCTAGTGGTTAATTAATGAGCCACTGATGGAAAACTGGTATAGCTGAAGGGTGACAGAATGACTACTCAAAGACACACTGTATAATCTGCCTACGTAAAACATATCCACTGGTTGTATAGGTGTTTCTTTATAACCACAAGGGCAGATTATCACCACTAGGGTGGAGAATGTAGGAGATTTATAAAGGGCTTGGTCAAAACCTAGGAATGGAAAAGGAATTTAGAGGTTGTAGGGTCACTATGCCCCATACATGTAGAGTGAATCTCAACTGAGGCACTATAGATGTTTTTTGGGGGACAATTCTTTATTGTTTGGAAACTGTCCTGGCACTGCAGGACACCCACTGATTCTGCCTACTGAATATCGGTAGCTTGCAGGAGAGGGGAACAGCATTGTAACAACAAAAACAGTCTCATCATTCTTCAATTATAAGGGGTATGCAGGGTTGAGGAGGGAGAGGTAAAGACCACTAGCCAAGAGGGTGGAATTCAAATGCTATTAAGAAGAACGTGGAATCTTAGAAGATACTGTATGTAACTGAGAACAGAGATTAAATAACTAAACAGTGCTGGACACATAGGTCATTAACAATGGTTCTCTTTCTAAAAGCCACCTGATCCCAAACTAAGAAACTTTTCTATCACATTACTGATGATACTCTGCTTGAATATCTGTCATCCTAGAGAAAAAATACAGACTTTGGAGCCAGAGAAATTGAGGTCTGAATCCCAGTCAGGAAGCTATGTAGAAACTTTATGTGAATTTCAGTTCCCTTATTTTTATATATTTATATATATATATATAAACTGGGATGGTGTGATTAGAATTAAAACTAATATATACAAAGCACGGACAAGAACTAAGTGCTTAGCAGACAGAAATCATGATGATTCTCACTCTAGTGATGAGATTTACCCTCTCAAGAGGAAGCACATCCTGCCATGGAAACGTTCAAGCTATTTGAAACCTTTTCATTAAGCCCAAATCTGCTTTCCCATGATTTCTCTTATGAAGACTAGCATATTCCACTTTTTCCCCCTCAAGAAAACTAAGAACTAAGCACCTCCAGTTCTCTACATAACGGGATTTCTAGATGTATCTACTCTCCTGATGGACTTCCTCTGGATTTGGACTAATTAGTGATGCTCCTTTCTTTTTCTTCTTTTTTTTGAGACAGAGTCTCACTCTGTCGCCCAAGCTGGAGTGCAGTGGCGTGATCTCAGCTCACTGCAACCTTTGCCTCGCAGGTTCAAGCGATTCTCCTGCCTCAGCCTCCCGAATAGCTAGGATAATAGGCGCCCACCACCACACCCAGCTAATTTTTGTATTTTTAGTAGAGACAGGTTTTCACCACATTGGCCAGGCTGGTCTCAAACTCCTGACCTTAGGTGATCCGCCCGCCTCAGCCCCCCAAAGTGCCAGGATTACAGGTATGAGCCACTGTGCCTGGCTGTGATGCTCCTTTCAAAACTCAGCATTACATACAGTGCTCTGATCCTGATCACTAATCCACAATATTTCAGTTAAAGTAACCTAGAACTTTAAAGTAAAAACAGACCCAGTCCCTCTAACTTTTTTTTTTTTTTTTTTTTTGAGACGGAGTTTCACTCATGTTACCCAGGGTAGAGTGCAATGG